CTCCATTCTCCTCTTGGGATCTTGGGCACACACGCACACGCGCCTGGCATGAGTTTTAAGCCACCAGGTCCGGTACGCAAACCGCGGTTGACTACGTGGGAGTCCAGCGACATAGCCATTATGCTAAATGCTGGTCCCTCTTGTGTGTTTCTTCTCAGTCCTTTATATAAAGCCATCATGCTCTACCAGGCCTTTGCATGTTGTAATATCTCAGGGCTTGGTCCTGGGTTCCTTATCTCCTCTCTCTGGGACATCCATGCCAAAAGTTTCGAAGGACACTATTGGCAGATAACTTGCAAATACATATCTCTAGTACCAGAACTCCCTCTCCAAGAAACTTCATGTCCACACTTGCAACTGCCTTCTTGACATCTCCGGGTATAGCAAAAGTATTTTATAATTGATGTGTTTGTGACTAAATTCTTGATAGTCCTTCTTGACCAACTCATCATTAAACAAAGAGAATCCTGGGAAAGCCAAGAATGAGTAATTGGAAATGAAACTAGAGAGGTGGCCCAGGTTCTGATGTAACCAGCCTTGAAAATCATGGCAAGGACTTTGGGTTTTACTTTGAAATGCAAAGCCATTCGAAACTTTTGAACAACTAGGAATGCTGATAGGAAAAGTGTTACATAGCTCAGAGAAGCTGTCTTTTTCTGGTGTCCTGAATTTAGTGATGCTCTTCATTTAAAGATACCTACTAAAGCAGAATTAAGTTTAAACTAAATTGAACCAATGTATGATGATACTTTCTATGGTTCCCAAAGAAAGGTGTGTAGCTATATGTTTTGGGCATCATGTTAGGAGAGTGCCTTTTAGAATTTTAGCATATAGGACCACATATCATTTGAAATTCTATTTAATCTTTAGAGAATATTTACAACAATCCAATGCCCCCTAGAATAAAAGAAAGCATTTCATGTGGCAGACCATGATGGAGGGGAGGCAATAAAAGAAAAAGCACAGCTTGAAGCGCAGTATAACTGGGTGACTTACACCTCCCCGCTGAAAGCAGCAGACTTGCAGTTACGGAACTGCTAATCTGTTCTACTGTTTTTTAATCAGATGTTGGCATTATCTGCCACTAATTGCTTTTTCATTTCCACTTGTAATTATTCCATTGCATGTTTGTAGTGAGAAGCTGAAAATGAGGCAGATCACTGAGAAAGAATTAATTGTTAATGAATAATCATCAGTAGGAAGCCAATTTCATTATCTTCAAAGAGGTAGCCAGAGATTAACCACTAGCTGTGGTTCTTCTACTTTCTGTGCATGACTGTAAAGTAATCACAAATAATCACGCCCTCCAACTTCATCAATTATTTTCTATTATGTGGATTGATACCCATTTTTGTCTTTGTTGTTTAATGATAATGGCAGTATTCATGCTGGGGAGTGCTAATTGGAAGGTGTTACATTCAGTGGGCTCTAGGCCTAATTATTAGAGCATCTTCTTCATTAGCACATGATCCTACAAGGGTTGCATGGTGGGAGTTACTGATTTTTCCAAGTTACAAGAATATTATATTAGGAAACTTTTGCATGTCCTTATGCTAAGTAACACACAGGAAATCTTATGTCTGGTCAAAGTTGTTTAGATAACAATGAAGACTTTCTGTGTAAATAAACCAAATAAGATTACATAATCTTACATGAATCTTTGAACATAAAGCCTGTTTCTGTCCTAGAAGTAATCTGTTCAGGACTGTTCATGAGCTTTTGCTTCTGATTTGTTTCTGTCATTTACCAACACTCTAGAATGGCTCACACGACCCCCTGGGATTATTACAGCTTGTCCTGGAGCTTTGCAGGCTATTAATGTAAACATCATCAGATGAGTTTGAAAGGCAGGATGGAAGGGTCTTAATGTTTGTTTTCTAGTGGTTAGGTGATGTCATTCTACACAGACTTAGGGAAAAAAACAAAAGCATAGCCCTACTTCACATTTGCACCAGGTTGCAAAGCTTCTCAAGGGACCTTCGCATGTATTAGTTTACCATATCCCTTAAGAAAGCTGCACAGTGTCTGCCTTGGCCCCAGAAACTCTTTTGGTACAAATCCAAGGTTCAGTACGGCATTGGTACATTCGCCTGCCTCCCCTTTCCACAGTACTCTATGAATCTTTAGCAAGTGTGATTAAATAGGCTACCCTTCAAGTCTAAAGAGCTTCCTCAGTGTTTGCAATCACTTCCAGGCACTCAAGGCTCTATTTCTAACTAAACCCACAGCTAGAGAAAGGCACAGCATGCAGCATTCTCAAGCTTATTGGATTATAGAACATATTTTGGAAACATCTCTAGGAAGAAAACTGCAAAAGATAAAAATTGGATGTAGTTGAAAAAGTATAGATTTTGATATTAGTCCCAGCCATTATGCTGGCTATGTGAGCTAGTGTAAATTATTTTACCTCTTGGAGTCTCAACTTTCTTCTTTATATAATTATAAAGAATAATGAGACATAAGAAAATTTATATTTGAAGTGCGAAACTCAGAAACTGGCACTCAAGCAGTGTTTGACCCGGTTAGGAGCAAGCAGATCATGAAGATCTTTAAATGTCTGAATAACAGGTTGGTTCTTGGAAATAAATGAAAAGTTTCTAAGAAGTAAGTTAAACAAGTACTTCAGAAGGCAAAGCCTAAGAAGCCGTTGATTTGGCACAAGAGAACTTATGTCGTATTCATAAAAACTCCACTGTGAGGTGGCTATTTTTTTCTCTATCCAGCAATTTAGAGACCCCGGTTTCCTCCACTGAGTGGTATACTGCCCTCAGAATCCATAGCGTCTAAGCCCAT